GATAACATTAAGTGGTCTTGCTATGCAAGAACACTTAATAATATATATGTGAGATAACATTAAGTGGTCTTGCTATGCAAGAACACTTAATAATAATATATATGTGAGATAACATTAAGAGGTCTTGCTATGCAAGAACACTTAATAATATATGTGAGATAACAATAAGTGTTGCAAGAACACTTAATGAATAGATATATCATTAATAGATATATATCTAGCCCTTATATTTAAGGGTTTTTTAGCTACAAGATTAAAAGTGATGTTTTATTCCATACATTTCTTTATCCAGCATACCATCAAAGTGATTCCCCGGTATTTTAACCATCTAGTACTGTTACCTCTGTTACGGTACCTCCAGTAATAAAATGCACAAACCGCAGTTTAGCGAATGCTCCCCGTTCGCAATAATGTGGTCTGGTAGCGGGTATAGTAAAACCATGTGAACCGCCAGCTAGGGAACACTCCAAACTCCCGAACGGTACCTGTACGGCTCTTTCCCTTCACGAGCTCCAAATCCACTAACCGCCAATAGTAACCGAACGCCAATATCCAAGCGGCAAATAATCCAAATAAGCAGTCTCTAGTCGTCAGTAATAAAATCCCCCCCAATAACGAGACCAAGCTCCGCTTTGAGGGTAAAACACGAACTGATTTACTATGGGCTACCTGCCCGGTATTTATGCAGGTCTCCCACATGGTGGACACTCCCCTAGGGGACCAAATGGGAGACTTGAATTACAGAAAGACATGGGGACATTTTGGACACACATCCCCACAATATTCCCATCATGCATCACAGTTCCCTCCCCTCTGCTCGGGGATAATTGGGAAGTAATTCAATTATCTCCTTGAGAAGAGGCAAATCGCCATTTTAAATACAAGTCACAAAACACATAAAAATCTATAACCTCATAACTGCCGAACATATTGCATTCGTGTAACACATCCCCAGATTGCCTGGATCTGAGTGCATATTATTGGCGAATAGCGCTCAGATCCCATACGCATAGTTCAATCGCCATGGAGTCAAAGTCTATTACAGTTCTTCGTTATGGGATTGACTCCATGGGACGGCTATCTGGGTTAAGTCCATTCGTGTTGTTGAATCTCCCAAACGGCCGGCATTCGCATGCTTTTGTCGATTGAGAAGGGGAGGTTGACGGCTTCAGCGGTGTTCGGTTGAAAAAGTGTCCGTTTTCAGATCCATTAAATAATGGTCGAACACCGCTGGTCTTTCGCATGGTTAAAATGGCCGCCGCCTCGTGGTCGACATACGAACGACGACCACCCGGCATTCGGTTTTAATTGAGAAGTGTCTGTGGTTAACCGCAACGTTCTAATTGGGATCAATTGGTTAACCAGCAGCACACTTCTCTTCTGGGTGGCCGTCCGTTCGGTAGTTCCGTTCGACAAAAACCGACATTCCCTTAAACAAAGCATACGAATGGGGAAATTCATGCAACCGGCAAAACAGACGAACACAGTACTTTTAATCCAGACAGATGGGTCTGTCACAACCTCCAATTCTCTTTTTCTTTATTCTACTTTATACAGGGGTCATCCCCCACAGGGAGGTACCAGTCATTAAAGACTCCATATTTTCTCGTTTCTTTCTTTGTCTAACATTGAAGCACTTATTCTTTGTTTTCTTTTTCTATATGTCCCAATATTTTGGGGGCTACCCCAATAAAAAAAACAAAAAAACAGTGTTGGCTACCTCCTCCTCCTCCACGGCTGCTTCCACCTACACCGCCACGGTGTATACTGATATATCAGAGCTGCTGCAGAAAGTGAGGCTGTCTGTGTGTGCTTTCGGCATTCTCACCCTGCGGCTGCGCGCCTGTCTGCGCTGCAGCATAACTTCGGCCTTCCCACTCACGAGACTGTGCGAGCAGCAGTAGGCAAAAGTGGAGTTTCAGCTGCAGCACACACGGGTCAGTCACACTGCACAAGACTTGCCCTCCAATTGATCAGAGTTAAAGGATTTCAAGTGGACTCATTACAATTACAGGGTCTCTAAAAAGTCCTATATTGTTATTTGTCGTCACTACCATCCCGCGTCGGGAGTGGGTCATTTGCGCACCTGCTGCCTTCCTTGCATGTGGTAGCCTTTTCTCAGGCTCCCTCTCCGGAATCAACCCTGATTCCCCGTTACCTGTGGTCACCATGGTAGGTGCAGAAAGTGGCACTGAACGTTGATATGGATGACATCCGAATGCGTTGTCGTTGGGGAGCCCATTGAAAAAGTTCTTTAGCATGACGAGCTGGGTGATCTCCTCCGGGAACTTGGCTTGATGGGAGTTGAGCCAGTTCTGGGTGGACCTTGTGATGCGGCATGCCCATTCCGCATGGGAGTCCTTCTCCCCTTTCCGGGTCTCTCTAAACTTTCGGCGGTATTGCTCGGGGGTGACCGCATACTGGGCCAGGAGGATTTGGGTAATAAAGTGATAGTCTCTGATCTGCTCTTCTGGTACAGCCCAGTAAATATCCGCTGCCTTCCCCACTAGTTTGCTGGCCAGGATGGTGACCCAGTCGCTGGGATCCACGTCTTGGAGTAGGCACTGGCGCTCAAAGTCTTGTAAAAAGTCATCGATGCCTTCTTATGCTTCCTTGAAGTCTTTGAAGGCATTGTATGGTAGCTTGTGGGACAGGTTGGTTGTGCTTCCCGGCGCCCTCTGCTCCCTTCTTCCTTCATCTGGGTTCATGGAGGACGCCCTGTGTCTATTGGCAAGAACATAGGCTTGCACCTCCAAAAAGGTCCTGCTGACAATCTCCTCTGAGGGTGGCTCTTGGTAATATGCCAGGCGCCATTACACCTCCTTGCTCACTTCCTCCTCATCTCCGGCTCCTGGCTGGGGTTCGTTGCCTCACTTCATGCCTGGTCGTCCTCCATGTGCGCAGCAGTCAATTCGGCCTTGTTATGCCCACCAGGCATTATTTCTCTGGCTCCACACAAGTCCTGTAGTGTAGGTCGCTTTAGAGCACTGTAGTCCATGGGTCTGTTGGCAGGGACATGGCAGGTGGCCGCTTGCCACCAATTGAAGCTGGACCTGAATAACTGATGGTTATCCCCTTTGGTTAGAATAGGTCAGACCCATTTCCTCAGTAACCGGATGGGACACAGTTCCAGGATACAACGTTTGACAATCTTTATTTGGGTACACAGCTTTGCCTCCTGTTGCCTCCTCCTCCGACTCCGCTTCTTCCTCCTCCTCCTCTATCACCTCCAGATGGGTCAGCATAACACCTTCACCACCAACTTCAGCACAGCCAGGGGGAAACCACAGCAGGCGGTTTTTAAACTCATATGCTTGGGGGGAAAACCCCACACCGCGCAGGAGCTGTGGACGGGCATGGAACAACAGACCGATGAGTGGTTGTTGCCACTGAGCCTCAAGCCCGGCCTGGTGGTGTGCGATAATAGGCGAAATCTCGTAGCAGCTCTGAGCCTAGCCGGTTTGACGCACATCCCTTGCCTGGCGCATGTGCTGAATTGGGTGATGCAGAAATTCCTGAAAAACTACCCATATATATCAGAGCTGCTGCAGAAAGTGCGGTCTGTCTGTGCGCGTTTTTGGCATTCTCACCCTGCTGCTGCTTGCCTGTCTACGCTGCAGCGTAACTTTGACCTTCCTGCTCACCACCTCATGAGACTGTGCGAGCAGCAGCAGGCGATAGTAGAGTTTCAGCTACAGCACGCATGGGTCAGTCGCTCTGCTGAACAGAGTTTTCATTTTTTGTATGTCCCAATATTTTGCAGGCTACCCCAATTAGAAAAAAATAAAAACAGTGCTGGCTACCTCCTCCACCGCCACTTCCACCTACACTGCTTCCAGTTTCTCAAGCCTATCATTGATTAGCCTCATGGAGGACACCAGTGAGGCGATCATCGTGTGGAGTTTGGAGTCATTAGAGCTAATTGTGTCCTCACCTGCATCTATATCATTCGTGTTGGCTCGCATGAGCCTGAATAGCTCCGCTTTCCTGGCCCTAGCTGGGAAAGGGAACCTGAGACATACTGAAAAACAGCAACACTACTGTAACGGAGCTCCCTGTACTCTGACCGAGTACCCTCCGTTGATGGATGCTCCTAGCGCTTCCTGAGGACTCCAAACACTGCAGCCGACACCACAACCACCGCAGACTCCACAACCGCCGTAGCTTAACTGGAGTCTCGCCGTCTTCCTTCCACCCTGGATCAGCTTCTGTCCTCCAGGACCGTGTGGGGAAGACCTCTCTCCTCCAGGAGAGCGTAACAGGAACAGCTCTTAAAAGAGCTAAGTGATTAAAAGCTCAGGGGAGTATGCAGAACATGGCAATCCCCAGTGTGATATAGCAGTTCCCTCCAATAACGAGACAAGGCTACGTATTGAGGGTCAAGAAGATCTGATGTTTAATGGCACACACTCTGCTTTTATGAGATTCTGCCCATGCAAGGGAGACACCCACATAATTAGCAGTATAACCAATCGGAACAATATACATTCGGGGAAATTCCCATCCCTCAGATAATCACATAACATAATTAAAACAGAACTGTAAAAATACAGTTTTTATACATGTACTATAACTTCCAAACTACACATCCAATCTTCATAAAATCTACATATTTGGAATCAATCCATTAAGGGGAGCAACATATTAGAAAAAATGGCACAAATCAGACAAGGGGTTCAAAAGTTAGCAAAAGTGTCTTTTAGGGCCTGGCTGGCAGCATGGTTTTCTGGCCCAAACCGGTTTTACAGAGGCCTCTATCCTGGACAATGGGGAAAGTAATCCAATTATCCAGGGATAGAGGCAGACTCCATTAACCACATGTTAGCAAAAGACACAAAAAGACACAAAAATACACAACTCCTATTGATCTGAACAGAACCCCCACATTCAACCTATCCCCAGATGGCTTGGATCTGAGCGCTCAATATATCCAAATAGCGCTCAGATCCCACAAATACAGTCAAATCGCCATACACACTAGGTCCATAGTCATGGGGCAGAAGGTTGGCAATTAGGCTTCTCCATAACACAGGGAAGCAGGGCAATTTGTCAAATTAAATAACAGTTACAAATGGCAGTTTGTAACAACTACCACTTAGAACCGGGGATGTTACTGGCAGACTAGCTAGTGCCAAGTGGCGAAATGATTCACTAATTGGTTACAGGTGAGCCCTCACGAGATGCTAAGCGGCTTCAGAGGCTCTACCTAAGTGTTGGCACGAGGGGAATGTTTGCCACCTAACGTCGTGGTCGGCCTCTTGGTGACCATTAAGCATAAGATAGCAAGAGAGTCATGCCCTTTCTATGCAACGAGCGAGGTGGCTAACTATGATTTGGCCCGTGTGGCGTATAACTTCTTGTGTGGAGGATGGGTTAAGGTCTCACGGGGAGAGTGTCTGGATCAAGAACCTAAATGGCCAGCTACTTCCCTATCGGACAGTAACCATATAGAAAAATTCAGGCTAATGGGGGGGGTTCGAGAGTCTTGTACCTGTTGGTAAAGTGAGTACCCGAAAGGTCCGCCGTGCGACAAAACAGGGATCTTTATATAAGGAGGGAGACCTAAATCAAATGGAAACGGCAAACCATTGTCAACAGAACTTGTATGTAGATCAGACCCATATATGAATGTATAAGACCTGTATATGATAGGCAATCCACCTGGGGTTAAGGATAGAGTTAGTGAAGAAACAAGCGAGTCGCTGCCAGGTACCTTGTAATCTGCAAAAGATTACAATAAACTTGACATGACATACTACTAGAGATCGTCTGGATAGACTGTTAGATTATGCGAGAATGATCTGACCACTTAAGGACAGGACAATTGTACCATAACTGATGCATAACTGATGATTTACTGCAGAACTACGTGACCTTACTATCTCAAATAAAACCACTCAGTTCGGCTTGAAAACCTCACTAAATATCCTTAAAGGACCACTATAGTGCCAGGAAAACATACTCATTTTCCTGGCACTATAGTGCCCTGAGGGTGCCCCCACCCTCAGGGACCCCCTCCTGCCCGGCTCTGGAAAGGGGAAAGGGGTTAAAACTTACCTCTTTCCAGCGCTGGGTGGAGAGCTCTCCTCCTCCGATCCTCCTCTTCTCCTCCCCGTCGGCTGAATGCGCACGCGCGGCAAGAGCTGCGCGCGCATTCAGCCGGTCACATAGGAAAGCATTCATAATGCTTTCCTATGGACGCTGGCGTGCTCTCACTGTGAAAATCACAGTGAGAAGCACGCAAGCGCCTCTAGTGGCTGTCAATGAGACAGCCACTAGAGGAAATAGGGGAAGGCTTAACCCATTCATAAACATAGCAGTTTCTCTGAAACTGCTATGTTTATGAAAAAATGGGTTAACCCTAGCTGGACCTGGCACCCAGACCACTTCATTAAGCTGAAGTGGTCTGGGTGCCTAGAGTGGTCCTTTAAAGAATAAACATTTCCTTGTAAGTGCACACAATAGCGGCATATTAGTAACTTGCCCATTCCTGACCATACTAAAATAGGTGACTTATTGTATATTAATACGGAGAGAAAGACAGCTTGTAAAATCAGTTTATGTGCAGAATGTTTTTGGTTGCCATGTGAACGTGGGAACCAAGGTTAGCCACTAGCCACCTTCCATGGGTTCCTCAGGTTGTAAGAACCAGGTTTCTGTTAAAGTTAGACATTAACCTGCCAGATTTTTATTGTTTTCATAATGTATGCATACTATATCCTGTTTTCTTTCCCAAGAAATAAATTGCTGATTGATTTTGTATAGTTCACGCAGATCACTAAACATCTGAGTATGATGTGAATTTCTATAATGCTTTGGAAGTTGTTTTGAATAATTGTATCAGTTGAAGTGAACTTCATAAACAGGTGGTTACCACATACATAAAATTTCCTTTATAGTGAGAAATTAAAGCTTACGTTATCATTGGCATAATTTAACTATTATAGAATTCACACATACAGGTTGACTGCTATTCACCCTTCCCTGTAAGAAATATAAATAGTAAGTGTAATCAAAAAGATTATATTAAAACAAAAATAT